TGGCACGATCACGATGGCACACGTTGACGATGTGGCGAGTGGGGAGTACTCAACGACTTGCGCTGAAACATTGCAATCCATTGTAAGGAGTGCGCTGTCAGTTGGACGTGTTAACAGGCACGTAAACAAGGAGGTAAACAATGGACTACCAGCTACTCGGACGGGTATATTCATAATTCTGATGTCCACTTCTGCAGTGACGGATAGGCCCACCAGAATCCACCTGCCATTGTTTCCGCGATCGTAGATTTCTCGACGATGCCATAGGCTGCAGGGTCTGCCAAACATGTGCTGTCTCTCCGGGACTCTGCTGTCGCTCCACACCGCCATGAGGAATCCAGGAACAAGTGGGTACAGATGGCCTCGAGAGGATAAGTGTGGCCATATGTTACCTGCAGTAGTCTCCGTAGGCGTCGTCGAGGCCTGTCCAGCACGCGTGTGTGGAGGCAAAGTGTCTTTCCGCCATGCAGGCTGCTGCGGACTACTGCAAGTCCTGTTTTAGTGCGCAGACGGGACTGGGCAGCCGATAGGGGAGACAGGCTTCCAGGCTGCTTTGGGGCCGACAACAAACAACTGGAATGGACGGCAGGCGGATGCAGAGGCGAGTGCTCATTCGCCAGGCCGTCTACACCGACTTTACTTGCTCTCCACAACAGCCGTCTCAAGGTGCGACAGAGGACACGATGCTGGCGGCGATGCGATGCTGGGACGAGGGCAACTGTCGACAGCATGAGCGTTCCCCCAGATTCCGGGCCTCTGTGGTTAGCCGCTACCCACCCGACCGTACCCACGGCGGACGTCGTGGATAGAGAGGCGAGCCAGAGTTTGTCCGTCGCGCGCCAATTCCCGAAACACCTGTCATGCTGTATTGGGGCGCGACTCCCCTGAATCGCACAGGTGGTGCAGCATCGCAGCGAGCGCTGGGCGTCAATAGGTCACAGGTGGCAAGCATCGCGATAAATTGGCTGACAACGTCTCTGGGGGAGCACCTCGTGGAGGGCAGTGGAAGCTGCCGGGCGTGACCAATAGAAGCCAGGTGGCAGCTTGTCGTGCGACCGCAGAGGGCCCGGCTGACGTCTCTCTGCTGATCGCACTGGGTTCGCTGGGTTCAGCGGCTAGACTGCGTTGGCTCAAGGGCGCTCGCAGCGCCGCCATAAGCACTCGCCATTATTGTGAAGCAGCAATCGTGTTTCAGCGGGCGGGTCCTCGACGTCGACGAGGGCCTGTTCGCAAGGCGAAGGCGTCACGTCATCACGCTCGCAGCTGGCAGCTGTCTCGGCGCGACTGATCCCAAGCAACAGACAAGGCCGCCATTCTGACGCACGCAAAGTGGACAAGCAAGGCGGACAAAGGCGTCGAGTTGGAGTCAAAGGGCCGTGGAACCTGCTGGAAAGCTGGAAAGCTGGAAAGCTGGAAAGCTGGCCACGCTGCCTTTAGTGCCAATGTCCTGGTGGCTGCACTGCTGGCATCACCTGAGCAGGGGTTCGTTGTGCGCTTGCCCCGATATGGAGCCACCCCTGCCATTCCGCCATTTGCAGCAAGGCGCATTTTTGACACCGCCTTCTTGGAGCGCCTGGTGCTTTGTTGGCCAGTGTGGATGCTGCACGCTGGAAGTGGACCCGAGGGGCTCATATACTTGCGCCGCCTGCCCTCCAATACCCGCTCTCACCACCACACCAACCGTACAGATGCCCCTCGGGTGGCATACACCCACATCCTTGCCCTCCTCGTCGTTGCTTGCAAGCTCAGCGTTGCTTCCTCTTCTACCACACAACACACACACCACCTCTCTCGTCCGTAGTAATCACCGCATTCCACTCGTTCCTTCCGCAACCGCCTACGCAGCACTGAGCCGACAACAACAACACCTCTCCCTAGGCTCTTCCTCACCTCCACGCTCCACGCTCCACGCTCCACGCCCCACGCCAACTAGCCCGCACATCTACACGCTGCTGCCCGTCATCGATTTGATGTGATATAGAGTCTCTGCTGCTGGCCATCATCCGATACCCTTCCGACAGCTAGCCTCGTCATCACTGCCACCTCACATCATCTCGCCCGACCTGCATCGTACACCCCCCAGCTTCTTGGAACAGACGTTTGATGCTCTATCGATCAACCATCTATTCCAGCCAAAGCCGCCAACTCTAGCATCTCGACCGCCATCTTCCGAGTCATCGCTAGCCTCACCCCCGAGTCCGTGCACCTGACTCACTCGACAAAGCGGCATCCAGACATCGACCTCGTGTCTGCCGCCCGCGCTCCTCCACGTGTTACGACTTCCTTCCTCTTTACGCAGCGACCCTCCTCTCCCGGACGTCTACGACTCCGCACGACCTCCCTCTCGATAGCTCGTTGACCCGGGCCATCTACACGCATTTAATACCGTCCAATGAGAACCACACTCTCTTGATTGTTTCCTTGTCTTTTACCGTCGACGGACCCCTTGTGCATATCACCGACGACTTCGCGTTGCTTTCAGTACTCTCCGGCCTGGCCCATTTAACGACTTGTCTGCCTTTCCTCCTATTCCGGACCGGACTACCATAAAACATTTATTGATATCTTTCAACCTTTCGACTACCTAAAAGTCCGATAGAGCATCGCTTTAGGGTCGACGGCTGTCTTCCCATTGTTTGATTACGACCCCAGCTTCACATTTCGGCCCGTCTTTTGATTTCCGAGCGCGCTTCATCTTCACTCTCACCCAGCGACCAGCCTTCGGTAGACTTTCAGTCCTCCCCGGCCGCTACCCATCTACCACCTCAAGTCGTCTCTATGGAGTGCATGCGCAATCAGCTTTACGAAGGCGTTGTGCTCAACGGACGATACGAGACTATCTCCCCTCTCAACCATGGCTCCTTTGGCATGGTCTTCCAGGCAAAGGACTTGGTAACTGGCGACAACGTCGCCATCAAGGTCATTACCAAGCCCACCGCCGCTGTCAACTGCCCTTCGGCCTTTGCTGTCGATGAACGCTCCGAAGAGCTCGGTGTTCATCTCCGCCTCGGCTCCCACGAACACACCGTCAACCTCCTCCAGTCGTTCGAAAGCCAGAACCACGTCTACATTGTTCTAGAGTTCTGCTCCAATGGCGACCTCTACGAGGCCATCCGCCACGACCGCGGCCCCATGGAGACCGAGCACGTCCGCGACTTCATGATGCAGTTGGTCAATGCCGTTGAGTACATCCACTCCAAGGGCATCTACCACCGTGACATCAAGCCCGAGAACATTTTCCTTACTCAATCGGGCTCCATGAAGTTGGGTGACTTCGGTCTTGCCACCTCAGACCCCTGGTCGTGGGAGGTCGCCGTCGGCAGTGACCGTTACATGGCTCCAGAGCAGTACGATCCTACCCACGCCGGCTACTCCACCGCAAAGGCCGACATCTGGGCCATTGGCATCGTTCTTCTCAACGTCTTGTTCCAGCGCAACCCCTTCGCTGTCCCTTCCACGTCGGATCCTCTGTACGCAGACTTCGCTCTTGACCGCCAGAGCCTCTTTGACGTGTTCCCCAACATGTCGCAAGACACCTTTGAGGTTATCCGACACTGCTTGGCCATCGACCCTGAGAAGCGTGACCTCAACGCTGTCAAGGACGCTCTTGCTCGCGCCATCACCTTCACCACCGATGACGAGGCTCTTGACGAGTTCTGCACTGAGGAGCACGACGTTGTCCAGGTCGGCGCCAACCGTGAGCCACTCAGGACTCCCTCCATCAGCACTCCTCAACTCGATGCTGGTGGTTCGTTCCCCTGGGCGAAGGCGCTTGCCATGTCTCCACCGCAGCCAATTCGTCAGCTCTCCGCTATCCCTGACACTGAGATCTACGAGGACCATGTGTACCCTGGTTACTCTTACGCTGTGAAGCCCGATACTGCATCTGCCGTATCTTTTGTGGACTCCGGCTTGGGCTTATCTTTCAAGTCCTCTGACGTCATGGAACCGGAGTCGCTCAATGTCACGCGATCCCGGCCAATGCCGATCTCTGGCTCGCTTCCAGCCAAGCCCTTCAACGGCATGTCATCGGTCTTCGGCAAGAAGCGTGACGTCTTCTCCAAGAGCTGGAGCGACTTGTGGGACGAGGAAGACGACGACGCGCAATTCATTGCCGAGCTTGAGAACAGCTACCCACCCTTCGCTGCTGAGAAGCAGGTCCAGAAGGTGGTTTCTGAGGCTGGATCCGGTGTTTCGACCCCTCGTGGTGGTCTCGCCGAACTCAAGAACCCTGCCATGGTCAACAACAGCAGGAGCCGTTCGCCCAAGGATCGCGTTGTCGACCACGTCAGCGAGAGCACTGGTTTCGTCTTCGAGGAGCACCGTCAATCGCCTCCTCCCAAGCGTTCAGCCGCTGACAAGTGGGCTGCGCTTGGCGACCGTAGGCGCAGTCCCGCAGTGCAGGCCATGCCGCAGACCTCGTCCAAGCCCAAGTCTCCCAAGATGGCTCAATCCCTTCCCACCTCCGCCAGGAAGCGGAGCCGGACGGGAACATGGAGAAAACCAATCCACTGGGGCCCAGGCCAGCATGAGAACCAGGTCAAGACTCCAGTGAAGACTGCGGTCAAAACGCCAATCAAGACCCCGACTCATTCTGGCTGGGAACAGAATGTGGACAATTGGTACAAGAGCAAAGATTGGCGCCCACTATTTCAGTCACGTTCAGGAGAACGATGACATTGGCGACCTTGGAGTGGGTTATGGTGGAAATTTCACCATTTGTAG